CCCCAAAACCCCAAAACCCCAAAACCCCGCGATCATTACTAGTAAGATATTATAATTAAATATGAAGCTGTTGAACATAATCATCAGAGAAATCCTTCTTTATCTTGAATTTAAGGACATCCAAAAGTAAGGTTTACTATAATCCCTTTAGAGCGAGACTGCATTTGATAAACAAGCAATTTTACCACAACATAATGTAAGTTTAGCCTCTAACAGGCTCTATTTGTTTCAGGAAAAGATAATAGCAGTATGGCTTCCATTAGTTAGGGAAATTTCTTTCCGAATTTAGTCAGATTTCTCAGAGAATTCTGAAAAAGAGAGTTTGGCAACATTTAACAATTCTTGTACTTTTTTAACCAAAATTTTTGCATATTTTTCATCAATGATTCGGATATGACCAGAATTTTGGAAAATTTTCTCTTATAGTGAAGACAATGAGTTCTTGAGAAGAGCCCTGCTGAACAAGGTCTCGTTATGTTTAGATTATAATCAAGAAGAACAATACCAGAAAGAAATCTTAGAGCGATTGGGCAATTCCTTCCCCGAAGAAAATAAGTGGTAAATTTTGTTATGAAAAATACAACTTGATTACTCCTATTGGATCTTTTTAATATCAAGAATTTGGTAAAACCTGGCAAAAATTTCCTTGTTTTTGTTTCTAGTTTTTCCTATCTTGCGGCTAGTTTTAGAGGTTTCACCGCTTTTAATATATAGTGATGGGTCGATGCCAGTCAGAATATATGAGAATATCGAATCTTCCCCGATCCATATCTTATTAAAGTTACAAAAATCACCAAGAAGGGTGTTTTGTATCTGCCAGCGTACAACAGGAGGTCAGCAATATAGTTTAAGGAACGCATTCTATACCTTCTGTGATGTCCAGCCATTCAACCAATACAACTCATGTCCAGAATTGTATTTCCCTAATGGTGTATGCTGCATCACTGGGTTGTTATGGCATGAAGATAGTAAAGATCTCCAAGAGTGGGAGGATACACTAAATTGCATTGAAAATTCAATTGAAGATTCTCCAAAGAAAATAAAACCTAAAAAGAGTAAAAAGTCGGGACCCTTGACCTTTGTAAATCATAGATAATGATTTATTTAGAGCTCAGATGATGACTACTGTGGCCGTGATCAATGAGATGACAGAGACGATCAAATAACTAGAATCTCAAAGATCAAAGAAAATCTTGAGAATAAAGTCATCAAACAGATAGTCGGAAAAAGTGGAAAATTTTATTCTCACACAAAAGGCTCAGCTCCCAGCAATGACAGTAGAAAAGACAGAGTAAGGACTTACAAAAGTCTAATATATAGGAGGATTACGGAATTTATGAATATGATACCTCATGCTTTGATGATTTAAGTAGAATTAACTTGTTCGTATTAACAAAAGTTCACGTAAGCTAAATTTTCCACCATTTTGATTTGGAGGTTCCCATTTGGGATTCTAACACCAAAAGATAACAGCTAATTTTACATAGGTATCAATGATTTCGGGATGTTCTTGCCCAATAAAAGCGTTTGCTTTATTGATCCATGATTCCCCCATGTATTGTGAGGATCATCCTTTGGCATTACTTCTCAAGAAAGTGTATGAGCTGTCAGGATGGAAATTTAATGCTCCTATATTAGAGCCGAAGAGGAAGAAAAGATCTGTTTGTGGGTTTTCCAGAAGAATGGCTCAAAAGATCAGGTCAAGTCTAAGCTCATCCTCCAGTGAGTCATCTAGCTCAGACGAAATCGGATCAGCACTTCTATCTGTAATTAATAAGAAAAATTTAGAGGAATCAAAGGATGATACAAAGAAAAATGTCGCCCCAAAAACTGACGAAAAATTCAAGGAATTTATCAAGCTATTCGCTACACTTTCAAAGGCTGGGCTGATCCCAGAAATGGCCAACTCAGTTGATAGATGGATGGAGTTTGACCAGAAGTTTTACTCTAAAAGGCTTAGTGACAAATACAGTAATGATTCACTCTTGATCTATAGTTAACGAAGAGGAAAAATTTGACTTGACCAAGACTGGGTTGAAGAAACTTGACATTGAAAAGATCTCCCAACTTTATTTAGACCTCAATACAGAGTAAGGCTTTGTAATAATATGTAGAGTGGACTATTATAGATTAAGACTAGCAGCAATCGGATACGATTTAAGCGTAAACTTAGTCATTAATAATATAGACCAAGAAGGAAGTTTATGATTACGCATTCAAGCATCTAATTGCAGGAAGATTTGTTACCATTCTTTGTAAGTCAATCCTTCCAATAATAAGCCCTTTTACACATAAGTTTTGAAGATATTAAAGATTAAGAGTTTTTATATATTTTAGCTCAGAAAAAGTTTGATTTTTGCATAAAATTTGGTGAAAAGCAAACTCTTTAAGCCTTTGTGCCATTTCATATGTATTTTCTTTGAGGGTCTCTAAAAATCATTTTCAAAATTTATTTATTAATCTTTAAATTAAAGCACTGGATATTCATGAAATGGATGATCCCCGTCCAAATGTGGATGTAGGAGGGATTCTGTTTGAAGGTCACAAGATCCCAGGAATTCTTAAATTCTCTTCATAATTCATCTTTACCTCACTATTTTTCATCTTCTCTTTATCAGGTCGATGCCTAGTTACTTTCTTCTCTAACTGCCCTTCTGATAGCCTCTTACTTTTCTTCAGGTGATTAGTTGGTGGTTTATTTTATTAGATCTTTCTGCCATCTTAGAAAATGATTTTATTCATAAATTTATAGTTTAACTTTTGTTCACAATTTAGATATTGGTAGCTTTCAAGACCAGGTTCTTACCCTGGGGTTTTGGGGTTTTGGGGTTTTGGGG